AGTTTTGATACACACGTTATTTTAACACTATCTATGAAAATCGAGTAACTCTATATGGCGACTTATTTTATTCTATGCATTAAACAAAATAAACGAAACATGATAGAAATAAATTTTTGAAAAACATATTAATGTTGACATGCACAAAGCATATACCCCACAAGCCCTCAAAGTGAAATATAGTGCATAATAATTATGTTTAGAAAGGAAAAAGTGAATGACTAATTTAATGTTGATGATATGATGAAATACAAAGAGATGGTGGTGTGTGTGGCCCCAAGAAGAGGTGTTCAAAATTTGAATCATATGTTGTATGCATTTTATGGGAGTTTAAACTCGTTGAAGAAATCGTACGAGTAGTTAAAGTAAGTGAATATTTTGAAATTTTATTTATTTTATTGAATAAAACTCGTATATACATTGATCTCATAATGTTACCTTGTAAATCAAATCTCACTTCCACTAAGAATGGAAGTACTCTCAACAATGGAACGAACAAAAGAATGTGTATGTGAAGAGAGAAGGTGGCAAAGTTTGGACTTACCAAAGAGTAAAAGGAAAAAGGAATTAGGGAATCTAGCTAGAACATGTTTGAATCAAGACAAATGAAATAAATATCCACTATGGACTACTTTAATATTAATACTTTATTGACCACGACAGAATTTATTTATTTTTTAATCTTGGAGAAGTCCAATTTATCAGCCCAATCTATGCTTTAGCTATATCAAATAAACCTAATTATTAATTTAGTTACACTTTTATAGATGAAATTATGCATTAACATGCACAAGATAGAATGTGATGAAAACGATCTTATTATTTATTCTAGGAGGAACACTACAAACATACCTTTTCTTTTCTTTTTCGACCTAATCTTCTCCTTACGAGTTTTGTTCTTCGGTTGGCTTAAATAAGTATAAAGATTGAAATCGTATTAATCTATCATAATACTATTCACCTAATGTTTTCTACTCTAATTTATTGTTTAATTCATAATATTGTACTGTACTAATGTGTTGAATGACTTAAATCTTTTCGATGAAAGCAAGATGCTCAATTTCTTGCAATTAACTGATGTACTTTTTATAATGAATGTCAACTATAGTATCGATGAGGTATAGTTTCCTTGGATAATTTTACAACGAGTAGTTGAATCTACTTGAATACGAAGCGATAGTCTAGTGCCTAAACCTAATTGCTCACGTGCTTGCTCTAAAATTCATGGTCAATGAATGGTTGATGTTCGGTTGAATTAATGATTCATGACAAAGAGAGATGTCAGCATGTAACGCAAATTCAGCACATTCCATCAGTGAATAGTACATGAAAAGGCCGTAGTTTGAAGCCAAAAACAGCAAAATTCTTGAGAGAATTGGGCAAGAAAATTACTGTGGAAAGTAAAAAACTCAAATTCTGCTTTGTAATCCCAGAATATCCGTTCACGAGTTCATTAATTTCATTCACTTCATCATTGTATTTCGGACCCTTTCACGTTGATCTGCAACCATCTCTCCTTTACTGAAACTTTTCCTGCAGTTTGTTCTTCTCTACCCCAATTATTTGAGTACCATTTCAGTGGTCCTTTGCAGAAATGAGAATCAAATACGAAGAATTATTGGGAGATTCATTCTTTTTAAGAGGAATAGGTCCAAACCCCCATTTGTTTCTTATTCTTTTCTCATTAAAATGAAAAATATAACCGATATTCATCACATCAAGACATCAAATTTGAATTTTTATCTCTTGTGTGGAGTTCGTAATAACTATTTTTCATTCTCATTCTTTCAAAAATGAGAAACAAACTGGGGATTGTTGGTTTTTCCTTTAAGCTCGACAAGATGATGACAATACGAATCTTAGAATTCAATTGCTCACAATCTCGTGATTTTCAATCTTAATAAGCCACATACAAGCACTGATATTTGAACTACCTAGAATGTAACACGTAAAAAATCTCATGATTAGAGATTTTTGTTTAGTGGGATTTCCTTTTATTTTTTCTTTTGGTATCTCACTAGTAGTGATATATAAAAATTTATGACCCTTTGGAATGGTGACAAGAAAACCAATAATATTTTCCTAAATCATTCCATATGTTAACTTGGTTGGATTAGCTAATGCTATTTTATTAGTAGTTCGAAGGCATTTTGGTGTGATAGACGTGCTTCTCAGTGACTGACTACTGAATATGTTGTCTATGTAAAATCTTTACTGATTTTTCTTCATGCTTGTTACATCTAGCTAAAATATTTAATGCAATATTTTTTATAGCAGTAGGCATTACAATGTAATAATAGGTACCACTGAGTTCTACACTAAAATAATAAATTTTCCTCGTGAAATAGATTCTTCAATATCTAAATAATAAGAATAATGATATCTGGTCCTAGTCATACTAAACACATGTTTAACTGCCATTGAAGTTCGCCGCATTCAACTGGTTAGAAATTGTAACTTCTTTATACTAACATATTGAGTGAGTGGACCGCAACGTCATATAGACGGATGCTTAACACTAGAGAATCAAATATTGTTACTCAAATAATAATTATTCATGAAGTTAAGAATTTGATGTCATGGTTTGCATCCATCAACTCGCTCATCTTTAACAAGAAACAATTATAACCATCATATGAATTTTGATCGATTTAACATGTCTACTCTAGATCCTCATTTGATGGCCGTTATTTTGAAAAAAAAAAAAATTTGAAGTTTTGAATAGTGATTTTTTAAAGAATATATGATCAAAAAGTAGGGAGAAGTTTTGGGTTACGTACAAAATATTTTATTATTTAAATGTACAGTTGAAAATTAGTATGAGAATTTAAGAGTTTTGTTTTAATGAGAATTAATCAATACCACCTTTATTATTCTTGAGTAGATTATGGTATTCAAAGTTATGGTCCATATATTAAGGGTAGGATTGGCAAATATTACAAGACTATATTGCAAAATGAAAGAAATGATTTTATTCTTTTTTTTTTCTTTTAAATCTTTATCCTATTTAGTATTTTTCAGGTCCACTGTATAAAACATCCTATATATGACACATAAAGATTGAAATACTATTATTCAGCCTCGCTAGTGCTTGACATTAGGGACGTCAACAGTTCAGTTCAAGATCGATTCGGCCAAAATCATCACCGAACCACCAATTTTTTGACCATATCCCAACCTCACCATAACCACATAAGTTGGTTCGGTTCATATCTCGGTTTGACTCGATTCGGGCGGTTAATAACCCTGAACAGGGGCAAATCCAAGACTTCGACCTAACTAGGACGGTTGTTGATCGTTGATTGTCAACAATTAACAGTCGTATAGCGATATTATTTATTAATATCAAATTAAATGTTATTAAAAATTATTCTATCCATATGTAAATACACTAAAATGTAAAAATCGTAAATTTATATCAAATTACAATACAATACAATCCAAAATAATATAAAATAAATGATACATGAGATTTCTTTTGTGTTATCAATGCTTAATAAATCGTTTGCTTGACTAGAAGTAGTTATGGGATTAGACGCACCACTACAGGAACTAGGTTGGGACATTGATTAAACGTTTTACCTTATTTCTCTCTAGCTTGTCTTCTTTGGTGACTCCTCCTTCAAAATCGTCCATGGCGCCAGCAGCTTCACAGACTCCGTTGAAAATTCGATTCCTGCGGAGTCAGCATGCACGGGCGTGCCACCTCGCTAGGTGTTAGCTCCGCCTTTGACCACAAAAATAAATTATTTTTTATAGATCCATCTGTTAAATTGAAGAAAAAAAATTATGAAAAAAAAAATTTAATGACAAAAAAAAAACAACAACAAGAACACAATACTAAGTTAAATTAGCAAATAATATCCCAAATGAAAATGCAAACAATATCTCAATTTTCAAATGCAAAATTCGAATTTAACAAATAATACTATCAACATAACAATACTAAATATTATCCTTGTCTATTAATCCTTATGCATCGAACTTGATTTCTATTCAATAATTCAAAAGCTCCAACCTCAATTTATATACAATCATCATTCATAGAAAGAATAATAGAAAGCTCAAAATCAGGTCATTAAAATCAAATACCATATCCACCCCATTGCACCATTGTTTGATTTTTTTCGCCCTGTTCGATTTGATTAACCGATATTTTCGTTTTTGACAGTTCGAATTGTCATCCCTACTTGACATTAATATATGTCGCATTGCAATTACTATTACATTGTCCAATAAAATTAAAATATAATTTTATGCATTGAATACCGTGACAATGAATTTGCTACTGAAAACCCTCCCATATGCTCTCACCATCTAGTACTCTAATTTCATATTGCAATATTTAAGCCTTCACTTGGCTATTTCATAAATAGTTCAATTTAAATTCCAATTATATGTTTTAATGGATTCATAAGTACTATCCTAACATCTTCAATTTATAAATTAAATTGTCTATAAACTCTTGTTTGGTGGGAAATAAAATCAGATTTTCAATCGATTTTGATGAAAGTTGATGAAATGTGTGATTAAAAAGTTATATATTACATAAAATATGTTATTAGAATTAATTGTTGATTTTGATTTTGATTTTAACTCACGTTTGTTTCTCATTTTTGGAAGAATAAGAATGAAAAATATAGTCGTTACGGACTCACACAAGAGATAGAAATGTAAATTTGGTGACTTAATGTGATGTATAACGGTCATATTTTTTATTTTAATAAAAAAAAAGAATGGAAACCAAATATGGGCTTAGTTTGTACCAAACAGTGGTTAAATTCTTCCCAAAATGAGGCTAAATGTGTTTAATGAAAGAAGAGGACCAAAAGTGGAAAAAAGCCATAATGAGAGGTGGGCGACGTTTTCCGTTAGGCATCGCTTTCTAGCCGTCGTAAGAACTGTTGACTTATGACCGTCACCATTAACGGCTTCCATCATTGTTATAAATAGTAAATACACGCACACTATCACACTCACACACACACTCTCTCTCTCTCTCTACAAACTAGTTTAAACATTAGAGGTTGCGTGAAGAAGAAGAGTGGTATCTTTGTGTTTTCTTGGGAGTTTGTGGTTGTCTGTCTTGTTGAGAATGGGAAAGATAGATCAGAAAGAGAAAGCTCAAACAGTAGTTGATCTTCTCAGAAAACAAGCTCCCCTCACTGTCAAACAGGTTTGAATCAATCCATCACTTTCACATGTACAGTTCCATATCCCAGTTGTTTCTTGTTTTTGCTTCTGGCCAATACCCATTTTCCAGTAGATAAAGATTCTGAGTTCTGACTAACTCTACTTTACATTTTCATGTTGAAACATTCTTTACTTTCTTTGAAAAAATAGCATTTTCAAATGATTCAGTGCATTTTCTTTGTGTGTAATTGTAATTGAATATTTTTCCATTGTTGACAGGAGAAGTTCTGTAACAAAGCTTGCGTAGAGCGGTTTCTGAAAGCCAAAAACGACACCGTGAAGAAAGCTGCGAAGCAGCTGAGAAATTGTCTTTCTTGGAGAGACTCCATCGGCACTGGTCTGTGTCTTCTTCTTCTTGTTTTTACAGTCTCAAGTCAGAATCTTGCTTTTTTATATTTTCAAATATAAGCCCTGCTCATTAAAGTACTCAAGAATCTGGTTACGATTAAAGTAGATCATCCCAAAAGAACAAAAGATTTTGATTTTTTTTTCACTGTTTATTTATGCTTGATTTCAGACCATTTAATTGCGGATGAATTCTCTGCTGAGCTTGCTGATGGCCTGGCTTATGTTGCTGGTCATGACGGTGAATCAAGACCCGTTATGGTAGTTAATTTAATTTTTTCCCACTTTTTTTCTCTAGATTTTGCTTTTAATTAGTTTTTTCTTTAAGCAAATAATTTATATTTCTTTTTTTGTCCTTCCTACTTACAGATTTTCCGCATAAAGCAAGATTACCTGAAATTTCATTCACAGAAACAGTAAGTACATTGTTATATCCATTTGTAGATATTAATGCTAATGCAACTTTTTTCTTAATCCTGTACGATAATTACTTTTTTTGGTGAAAATTTGGCAGGTTTACTCGGTTGCTGGTGTTTACGCTAGAAGTGGCTACTCAGACAATGTCGAAAAATGTTGAACAATTTGTTCTTCTATTCGATGCAAGTAAGATTTTATTATTATTATTATTATTATTTTATTTTTTTTAAAGAAAACTGACTGTACAAACCCTTTTATAAATTCTTTTTTAATTTATTTTTTGGGTAAAATGAGAGTTTGTAACTAGCATCAGAGTACAATGTCATTTCAAAAACACTCTGTCAAACCAAATCAGAACACAGCTTTCTCTGTTAGTAAAAGTGGCAATTAATGTACATTCTTGTTAAATGTCCAAAGTCACGCCTAATCACTTAATTAATAAGTAATTAATTGACTAATCAAACTAGGATAATGTTTCTTGTGCATGCCAGTGTACTGTCGGAAAGGAGTGAAAGAGTGAATTTTTTTTCAGACATTGCCCGGAGTGCACTTGATGTTAGGTGGTGGTAGGGCTCAAGAATTCATTATTTATTTTTTTCTAACTAGGCTTTTTTTCGAAATAAGTCTTGCTGAACGGATAAAATAAATATCGAAATATGATTAATCTAGCTATAAGTATGTAATGTAAAAGTGATCATAATTCTCCTCTTCCTTTTTCTTCTGTCAGAAGGCCAACTAGAATAAATTACAGAAAAGGGGGTCAGAGATTTAAATTTTCTTGATTTGTTTAATTGTAAAAGCAAATAATTGTTTTTGAGAAATAATTTGTGGGTGTGTTGACTTGGAAAATGCAGGCGTTTTCAGGTCAGCACCAGCTTTTATGAACATGTTGCTGGCAACACTGAAGATCATAGGGGACTATTACCCGGGAAGGCTTCACAAGGCCTTTGTCATTGATCCACCATCTCTTTTCTCTTATCTTTGGAAGGTATTCACTCTACAATTTTCAACTCATTTACCAAATTCTTTTGGTACAAGATGCATATTTTCGACACCGTGTTTTTACTATGATAAGTAGCTTTAATTTAATTGGACAACAGTAAAGACTACAGCATTACAATATTGTTCATTATTGCATAATGTACATAGTTAGCATGAAAATATTTATTTTAATTATTGGTCCTATAAAAATTGCTACATTGTAAGGTGATAAAATTCTTGATGCACTAGTGAACTCTTACATTGTTGTGACGTTTTGCGTGTAGGGAGTAAAGCCATTCGTTGAGCTTTCACCATTTACTATGGTGATTTCATCACTAGACTTCGAAGAGTCTTTGGAGTTTGATGACTTCACATCGTATCCAAGGGCAGCATCCCTCCGATTTGATCCATCAAATGTGCCTGGGTCGGCCAAAATTGGCTCATGTTCCTCTTCGAGATTTTCCTTCACTGTTTCGCACCACAACGATTCACTCAAACCTTGGCATCTCTCATTTACAGACACATCAGGATCTAAAGTGGGCTCCAAAACCTCGTCAGAAGCCCTATTGGGCCCTACCATCTCACCTCTCAATGCAAGATCCCACTCCTTTGCATCGCCCTCTGCTAGATCATCACATGGAAACCTGCGCACAATCAAGAAAGGCTTCTTCCCATCAACCCCATTGCCACAAAAAACACAAAAAATGGATTCATCGATGATCAACCATCCAAGGACTCCAGGACCCTCATTCCTTCAATCATCGGCCTTATTCTTCAAAAAGGATTGCCAAGTCAACAAAGTCACCAAATGCCGTGAATCGTTTATCCCGTATTTGAAGTTCTATCGGAGACCGTACGATGAGATGATTTATAGATCGAAGATGCGACCTCCTCTAGGTGGCCTTATCTCAATTATCTCTCCACAACTCAAGCGTAGACACATGTCCGTCTCTCAACGATTTTGATTCTCTAAAATCGTATATAGTATTGATATTGACTAAAACTTCTCTTTAATAATTTATTTATTATTTCTATGTTTCGATGTCAAATGATCCTTTAATGCATAGTACATTTATATTGTCCCAATATTTATTATGTAAGTAATAGACTACGTGCTAAGTGGGCTATGAAATATCGTGCAATGTCACATTTGGTGCTATGTGGAAGTAAGACAGCGTGGTCTAGACGGTGGACATTACTTTGGAACCAAAGAAATTTCCAAGAATGCCAACTTTATTGTTCCAATAAAGCAAATTATTTTTTTATGGTCGTGTGAACATTTGAGATTCTTTAATCCTTGGTTGAACTTGGTAATGCCAATAATAGTAAAAAATAGGTTAAAGTTTGAAAATTTCTCACTTCATAGGCTTGTTTGTATTAATTTAGTGGGTTCTTTTTTTCATTTACTTCTTGGTTTCAACAATTGGTAGGAATATGTGTCTGTTGCTTTTCTATTCAAAAGTCAAATGGAGCTTCTGATAGTTAGACATATTATATGAGTATTGAGAAGGTGGGGTGGGGTTGGGTTGGGTTGGGTTGCGTAAGGAAATTTTGTGCAAAAAGTTAGAGGCTTGAGTTCTTGCTATATTATAAATGAGCTTTGAACCAGAGCGAGATTTATGATTTTCTTGTATCATATTACGATAAAATTTATATAATACTCATATATTTAAGGTAATTTGAATAAATTGCCTTAGAATGATCAACTTAGAAATAGAATAACAATAGTAATAATAACAATATTCAATGAAATGATTCTCCCTCCCTCCCTCCCTCTAGTTGTGTCCTTGTCTCCATGCCATTCAGGAGCCTCCCTAGCAATTTCCCAAAAGCTATTCATGCATTTTTTGAGTTACAAAATAACAATGGACTGAGGGGAGCATAGAACTGAAGGTTGAGACATAAGAGAGGTGCATGTAAAGGTGAGAGAAAAAATGACTTGTAAAGGTGTCGATGTTAAATTTTAAAAAAAAATAAAATAATAAGAATAAATTTAAACCAAAAAATTAGAAAGTTTTCTTGAGCTACCTAGCTACTTTAGAAATTCATCTGCTTTATAGGATGTACATGCACATATAATTTGTCTTGTACTCATTTGTCCTCAAGTAATCAATGTTCTATGTCCTAAAAAAATGAGTTGAGGCAATTTTGTTTGGGATCAATTGTTTGATTCATTTGGTGTGAGAGTTTGGTTTGTATTTTAGTTAATGAATAAGTTTGATATGGACAAAAATGTTCTGTTTGCACTACCATTGGTTTGTGTTTGGAGTTTATCCTTTGTTGGTTTTAGAATTTCTTGAGTTTAAAAACCTTTTTCACTAACTCCTAGAGGCCAACGTGACCTACAATTTCACACTTAGATATTCATATTTTAATAAGAAAAGGCCATATATGACTGTTTGACATTTGGAATTTTATTCTTTGTTGCTTTCGGGACAGTGTCTTTAAGTAATTATCAAGTTCTTGGAAGAGATTTTGGGTGAATAGAATAGATCATGGGACATGGGTACATTGTTAGCAAGTCGAATATTCGACTTCTAGGTCCAAATGTTCATGATTAGATTTCGGTGTAAAAAGATCATTTTAACCTCCTAATTATTCTTTATTTGTTATTATATTTTAGCATAATGTCTCATTTTTCTTTGTTTGGAATAATTTATTTACGATCAAACTTTAAATAATTTATTTTTGATCAAGAAAAGAATTAGTAGCATTCAAAGAAAATAAAATTGGCATGCAACACTCGATTGTATTGTTTGCTGAAAATTTGAGTTTGTTATTAAACCATTTGAGGATATTGTGGTTTACATTGTTGAGTTCGAATCGGGTGATAAAAGTACTTGGAAAAGGACAAAGTAAAAATTTGGAGAATGAATGCATATTGATATAAAATCATACTAAGCATGACCTCTGAGCCATGTATAAATTGACATGAAGCACTTGAGCAGCAGTCGATCTTAAGGCTATAAATCAAGAACTTAGTCCCTATTTGATGGCTATTATTTGACAAAAATAAAGTTTTGAATAATAAATTTTTGAATAATGTGTGGTTAAAAAGTAGAAATTTTTTTTGAATTTATGTATAAAATATTTTATTATTTGAATGTATGATTAAAAATGGGTATATTAAATAAAGAGTTTTGAAATAATAGTTGTCAAACAGAGGCTTAATCGGAAGAAATCCATTTTTCTAAAGAATTTTTGTTATTGCATACTTATAAATAATATAGTTGTATTTGGTATTTTGACATATTTAATTATTGTTTAGCTAAAAAAAAGTATTTGTTTTTATTTTTTAATTATTTTTTAGGTTATCATCCTAACTCAAAATAATAATAATAATAATAATAATAATAATAATAATAATAATAAGGAGGAGGAGGAGGTTGACTACGGTTTGCAAACCGGGTGACAGGCGATCACTTGAAATCTACTGTTTGCCACAGTCAACCACAGTTAACCAAGGTTTAACCGGGATCAAACATTTAAAAAAAAAAAAAAAACTTTAAAACTAGAAAAAATATATATATATTTCAAAATTTTTAATTCTCCCTCTTTTTCACATATCAGAATTTCAAATTTACACAATTACCAACTTATTTAATCATCAATATATTCAATATTTTGAAATTATGAAAAGTTTCAAGTTTTACTCAAAAGGTATTATTACTTATAATAATGAGTCATTTTTTCTTTGAACTCTCCTGCGATTCTTTTTCTTTTTTACATTGAATTGAAATTAGATGAGATAAGTACTTGATATATTTGAATTATATTTTTATTGAAATTCTGATTATAATTTCTTATTGGTTACTGCTGATCGTGCTTATAATTTTAATTGAAAAAAAAAATTGGCATAAAGAACAAAGATTCACTTTTGAAGGAAGATAAAGAAAAGGGATAATTGCAATAGCGATCCCAAACCTTTCGATTTTTTGTTGACTTTATCTTAACCTTCACTTTGTACCACTCAGAGTGTCAAACCTTTCAAAAATTAGCACCTGGGTACAAATGGATGATTCTTCTTAATAACGGCACTTGTTTTATCAAGTTGATTTCTCCTATATTTTGATTTGTTTTCAATGCAACACCCTCAAGCATTGGACCACCTACCGTACGTAAGGTAGAAATATTGATTATGTGACAAAGAACTATTAAAATCACATAGATTATTGATATTGAGTTGGTGAAAACACATGTCATTCTACTGATTCATTAGAATATAAGTAATGAGCATATCTCTTAAATTTTGTAAATAACATATCCGTCTTACAATTTAAATGAGTTCAATTTATTGATTTTCGGGACAGGAATGCCCCATCACAACTTATAATCGTGTTAACAAATAAAACGACATAAGGGTTTTTCTTTTCAGTAACGATACCTGTGTCATTTTGTTGATTTCTCTTACATTTTGATTTGTTTCCAACGCATTGCTCTCAAGAATTGAATTTCTTAACGCATGTAAGACAAAAATGTTGATCATGAGACAAAGAACAGTTAAAATCATGTAGATTATATGATATTGAGTTGATAAAAGCGAAAGTCATTATATTTGTTGATGTCAAAATTAGCAAGAATAATTTTGAACCAACTTTAAGAAAAAAAGACGATTTATGCTTTAAAAAGACCACAAAGGTGTCATTTTCGTGTAATTGTGCCATAAGTCGTTATATGAATTCGCTCTGCCTTTACAAGAGTCCTATTCAACTATTTATACATAATTTCAGCCAAAATTCAGTCAAATCAGCAACAGTGCTGAGCTCGGAACTCGGGTCGACAAATTCTCCTGTGATTGGTCGATGAGGTCGGTGGTCATGTGTCAATATATTACCCAGGTAATGATGACCTGTAAGGGGCTGGAGTTTGAGAAATTGGAATTGGTTGTTCCGGGCGGCGATGACGTCACCTATGGCAAGTGTATCTGATTGATAGGGTAATGTGATAAGGGGTAATCATGATATTTTTCTAAGATAATGGGAGATAACTCCGACCTGGGGGTGTGGACCGAACTTATGTTTAACTGAGGTGGGGTTAGCGAACTATTTATACTAGATCGGAATTCGGATGTCAACAGTTATCTCCCAGGTCAGCTCTACCTTGGGGGGGCTGACCTCAGTGATGCTTTCTCCAAGAAGTACATTTATTGTTGTGACAAGTGTCATCTCTTGAGGTGGATGAGCTGTACGCCATTTATAAGTAGCTTCTTCAGTAAGCTTGGCTAAAACTACGTCGTTTTGTCTCTTAGACTTTTGAACCGTTTATATTTTCCTTCCATTTCTGGATGAACGGCTCAGATTGCGCACTCTCATCTTCACTTTCTTTAAATCCCTTTTTGGTCAGTCATTTCTACTCCTATTTCGCTGGTATTACTTTCTCAAATATTTGGGCGATTTCCTGAGTTCGTATTTCCGTATTCGAGTGAGGTCGTTTTCTTAGTTCGTTTTCCAGTTATCCTTATGTTCTTATCTGCTGCCTCATTTCAGTTTGTGCTTTGTTTCCTAGTTTATACATGAGTTCGGACGAGTCTAGAGTTCATTCCTGGGGCAACCAGCAGGAAGAGTCAATCTTCTTCTCGACGAGTTTGTCTTCTAGTTGTAGGGAAGTTTTTATCCCCATTCCTATTTCCGTAATTAAGCCGACTGACTTAGGGCGTCCTGTCATGGACTTAGGATGTGAGGGTTCCAAGGGGGCAGGTAGATCCAGTAAGGATGTTGAGAAGTGTAATTCCGGGGAGTGGGGGCGAGTTCTTATAGGTCGGTTGTGACAGGGGATGTGTTAGCCAGCTGGCAAGCTAAATACGTCATCCCTAGTTCGGTAGTTATGATAATGCCAGAGCCATCTGACCGAGCTGACACTCCTCCTGAGGGCTGTGTTACTTTGAACTCGGCTATCCTTCAAGCCGGTCTTGGGTTTCCTTTTCCTAGGGTGATTTGTAAATTCCTTTCTTCCTGGGGCTTAGCTCCTACGCAGCTATGCCTTAACGGGTGGTGAACCTTAATAGCCACCCTTATTCTGTGGAACCAAATGGGGAATCCCGAGCCAAGTGTCCAGCAATTCGATTCTCTGTTTACTTTTAAGGAGGATGGGAAGAACTCGGGCTAGTGGTGCACAAGCGTTAGGCCCAGGACGGGAGGTTCTCTAGTGCTAGACACCCATTCCTCAATTAAGAAATGGAAGGAGGAGTGGTTCTATGTATCAGGGGAGTGTCAATTTCATTCTACCGAGGTGAATAAGGAGGACGTGGTTCCCAGGCTCTATCATTCGTTATGTAAGTATCTTTTTGGGTTTTAGTCTTTTAGCAAAGGCGTATGTTGACGAAGTACTGACCTTGGTATTTTTTTTTCTTTTGTGCAGATTACAAGAAGGAGATGTTAACAAAAGATACATAGAGACGAGTTGGGGTAATAAGATCATTACCTAAAAAGCAAACGTCCTGTAAGTTTGTAATCTCAGATTCGAACTTATACCGGGCCGGATTGTTGCAAGTACGAGCTTCAAGTTCGACTCCATCCAGTTCAGGTAATATTTAGACCTTCATTCGCGGTTATGATTTCTTTATGTATATTCATATTCATTGAGCGTTTCACTGCTTTCTCAAATCATCAGGACGAGATGCGGGGCTACAAGGCAGCAAAGGCGGCGACTGCGACCAAGGGAAAGAAGAGAGAAGTCCCAGAACGGATGGAAAGCCGTTCTAAAGAGGTGGAGGAGGAGGTTCCATTGAAAAGGAACTGATCTGCGCCCCCGACATCACTGAGAATTCCTAAGGCAGTGCCTTTGCCGAGCCCGACCCTGCTGTCTCCTTCATTGCCATCCTCAAGTGCCCCTTTTGCTGTCGGGACCAGTTCTGCGAACTTGCAGGATCGATGCCTAGATTTACAGAGGCCAAGCTGGGAAAGTTTGGTGGGACATAGACCAGAAATACTTTTAGACTATCTCCGAGCTCCTTTTCTTTCCAGGGGAATGACTGCCGCGCTCACTTCACCTTTGAGGGAGTCGACCAATCTACTTACCCGGAGCTGGGGTAAGAGAGAGCAGGGCTATCTAAATGAGATGCCCATTGGTGAGGCCTTGGTCACTGCTCAGCTTCATGGCCACCGATCAGTTTTATACATGATGGCAGTGGCGGATAAGGTATACCTCTTACTTGATTTTTGATTAATTTTATAACTATTTTAATGACTTACTTGATTTTGATTTTTGAAAAACAGGTGAAGTCCGAGCTAGACAAACTCATAGAGGTGAAGGATCAGGTCTTGAATCTTTACAACAACATGGAGGCTAAAAGGCCCAGTTCGCTCTGAGGGAGAAGGAGTATGAAAAGAAGCTGAACCAGATAGGGATCGAGCTGAACTCTAGGCTCGATGTCGAGGAGAGATTGATGGAGGAGATCAAGGCATTGAGGGCCTCGGAGGAAGAGGTCAGAGCTAGGGTAGAAGAGGAGCGCGACAAAGTCAGAGAAGCCATCCAGAAGGTACAAGAGACCAACGAAAGGGCAAGGCAGGCCACCAAAAGGGCTGAAGAGGCTGAGGACAAGATTGACAGAGCGGTGGAAGCCTGGAAGGAGTCCTCTGAGTTTGACGTCGTAGCCCAGGATGTCTACGTGATAGCACTGGAGGAGTTGGTGGGGCACATCAGGAAGGAGAGGCCTAATTTTGATGTGGCCTTTCTGGATGAGGCATTGGAGGGGCAGAAGGAGGAGTTGCGGAGGTTGTTTGAGTCTGCTGGAGTTCGAGTATTACCGACAGCTTAGGATGTTGAAGATACTACCCCAACCCCCTAAGACCTTAGGCGATTAAAAACTTTGATTTTTGGTATTTTAGTTTTGTCAATATGTTTTTGGCTTACGAGTGAACTTTGTTTTGACTGTTTATGAAATTTTGTTTGGAATGGATAATTGTTTATGACATTTTGTTTGGAATGGATAATCCTTTATGCTCAGTACGATTTTTATTATTATTTTTTTTTGAAAAATATCTCACGGACTTTGTAAGAGCGTTACAATAGCATGTAGAATTACCTTGAATGAATTTTACTTAGTTGGGCATTTTTACTAAGTGTAGTACCACGTACGGCCTTAGCTCGTCCTGCATGTAGAGCAGGGCTTTATAGATTCCTTAGGAGGAATTTTTCACTAAGTGTTGCAGCACATACGACCTTAGATCGGCCTGCGTATGGAGCATGGCTTTATGAGATTCCTTAGGAAGAATTTTCCACTAAGTGTCGCAGCATATACGACCTTAGATCAGCCTGCGTATGGAGCAGGGCTTTATAAGATTCTTTAGAAGGAATTTTCCATTAAGTACCGCAGCACATACGACCTTAGATCGGCCTGCATATGGAGCAGGACTTTATGAGATTCCTTAGGAGTAATTTTCCACTAAGTGTCACAGCACATACGACCTTAGATCGGGCTGCGTATGGAATAGGACTTTATAAGATTCTGACAGATTTCTGAGTAAAATGTTCAAAAAATAGAAAACCCTTTTTATTGATGTGATTGACATTACAAGGGGGCTTTTTCCGTTCACTGATAGTACTGCTTAAGGTGTTCGACATTCCAAGGATGGGATAAGGATCTACCCCCAAGTCTTCCAGTTCATATGCTCCTTTTAGCAGGACCTTCGTTATCAGATAGGGACCTTCCCAATTTGGACCTAAGCATCCACTGTCGATCTCTCTTGTAAGGAGAAATACCTTCCGTAAGACGAGGGATCCTATCTCAAATTCTCTTTTTCGTACTTTTTTATTATAGTACTTGACGTTTCGCTGTTTGTAAACGACATTCTTGAGTTTGGCATTGTTCCTTTTTTTCTCAGTTAGGTTAAGTTCCGTGCGAAGAGCTATGTAGTTCCTTTCTTCGTCATAATCAGCTATGCGCAGCGAAGGAATGTTGATTTCTAGTGGGATCACGACCTCTATGCCAAAAGCCAGCGAGAACGGGGTTTCTCATGTGCTTGTCCTTGTAGTAGTACGATAAGACCATAACACACTGGGGAGTCTTCGGCCCATCCTCCTTTAAACAAGTCGAGTTTTGCTTTCAATATACGCTTAATAATCTTGTTAATGGCTTCGACTTGGCCGTTTGCATGTGGATGGTTTGGTGATGAGAAATGTTTCTTGATGCCGAGCTCTTCGCAAAAATCTAAAAGTCGTGCGTTGTCGAACTGTTTTCCATTATCCGTAACACTGGAGTGAGGTATGCCGAACCTGCAGATCACTGATTTCCACAAAAAGTTGGTTGTTTTCTGTTCGGTGATGGTGGCAAAGGGCTCTGCCTCGGCCCATTTAGTGAAATAATCCACTACGACGATAGCGAATTTTACCCCTCCTTTTCTAATGGGCATGGGTCCAATTAGGTTGACTCCCTATTTTGCAAAGGGCCAAGGTGCTGTTCTGGGTTTAGTCCCCACGGTGGAGTATTTATGATGGGGGGGAGGCGTTAGTACTTATCGCATCTTTTGACAAATTCAAGGGAATCTCGTCTTATTGTAGGCTAAAAGTATCCTTGTCGTATGATCTTGTGGGCTAGTGAGAGTCCATCGAAATGGTTTCCACATATTCCTTCGTGAACGTCCTGCAGGCTGAGTTTCCTCTTCATTCAAGCACCTTAACAAGGGCGTAGAATATTCCCGTTTATATAGTATATTATCAATGAGAGTATACCTAGTCAACCTTGTTCGGAGCTTTCTAGCCTCTACAGAGTTTTCGTGATATTTTTCAATTTTCAGGTAAGCAATGATCTCGTCCTGCCAAATTGGTTTGAGGTCTATCATCATAAGGACCACTTTATCCAGCTCGGTGGACGGTAGGGATATTCTTCCCATGGGGATGCTATCGAACTCCTCGATTCCCTCACTAGTGGCTAGGCAGGCCAGTGCATCAGCGTGATTGTTTTGAGATTGGGAAATTTGTTTGACTTGAGTGGTGTTGAACCTTTCAAGTTCTTTTTTCACAACTTGTACGTAGTTGTCCATCCTGTCTTCTTTCGCCATATATACACCGTTGACCTTATTCATGACTAGTTGGAAGTCGCTGTGTAGGATTAGGTCGGAGATTCCTAGTCCTGAGGCCATCCTTGCTCCAGCAATAAGAGCTTTGTATTCAGCCTCATTATTTGAGGCTTTGAAGTCATATGGCAAGGCTTTGCAGAATATGCAGTGATCAGGGCTGATTAATACGACACCGGCTCCAGATCATTCTTCGGTGGATAAACCGTCGACATAAAGTTTCCAAGGGGTTTCTTTCTGTTGTTCTTCAATTGGGACGTTGCAGAACTCAGAGACAAAGTCGACGAGTGCCTGGCCCTTTATGGAAGAACGAGGCGTGTATTTGATGTCAAATTATCCGAGTTCTACTGCCCGTTTTACCATCCGTCCAGAGGTGTCGGGCCTTTGTAGCGTTTGCCTCAATGGAGAGTTGGTAAGGACCTCAATGAGGTGTTCCAAGAAATATGGCCTCAGTTTTTGCGCTGCCATGAGCAGGGTGAATGCCAATTTTTCAGCAGCCAAATATCTGAGCTCAGTTTCGTGAAGCACTTTGCTTACGTAATAAATCAGATGTTGAAAGCCATTTTCTTCTCGGGTTAGAACGGCACTAATGGCATGCTCTGAAACAGATAAATATACCTTCAGGGCCTCGCCTGCCTTAGGTTTTGAAAGCACTGGAGGTTGGGCTAGTTGTCTCTTTAGCTCGTTAAACGCGTCCTGGCATTCTTTGGTCCATTCAAACTTCTTTCCTCCTCGTAACGTGTCGAAGAAGGGTTTGCAGTGGTCCGTAAATTTGGAGACGAATCAACTGAGGGCGGCAACCCTTCCGGTTAAACTTTGTACCTCTCTGGGTTTAGTTGGAGGCTTCATTTGGATGATAGCTTGTATTTTTTCAGGGTTTGCCTCGATTCCTCGGTTGTTTACAATGTAACCTAGGAATCTTCCAGAACTGACACCGAAAGCACATTTCCTCGGGTTCAACTTCATTCCATACTTCCTCAGTATATCAAACATTTCGGTTAGGTGTTGACAGTAGTCCTTGGCCTTGACGCTTTTGACCAGCATATCGTCAACATACACTTCCATTGTCTTTTCGATCTACTGGGAAAACATGGAATTCACAAGTCGCTGGTAGGTGGCGCCAGTATTTTTGAGACCGAATGGCATTACTTTGTAGCAGTAAAGACCTCGATCAGTTACAAACGAGGTAGGTTCTTGATCTGGGCCGTACATCGGTATCTGCTTGTATCCGAAATACGCGTCCATGAAACTGAGTAGCTTATGTCCGACGGTGGCGTCCACCATTTGATCTATTCTCGACAATGAAAAGCTATTTTTGGGGCATGCTGCTGAGATCGGTGAAATCTATGCATACCCTCCAGTCTCTGTTGTGCTTTTTCACAAGGACCGGATTCTTGACCCACTTCGGGTATTTTGCTTCACGGAGGAAATCGTTGTTCAATAGCTTTTGCACTTCTTTGTTGAGTGCTTCATATCTTTCAGGGTTCAGAGGTCGTCGTTTTTGCTACTTTGGCCGAACTGAAGGATCCACCTGTAATTTGTGGCGTGCAATATTAGGATCTATTCCTCTCATGTCACTATGATCCTAGGCGAAGACATAGAGGTTCTATTTAAGGAAAGCCACAATCATGCTTCGGGTGGAGGGCTGGAATTCGCACCCGACTTTGAGTTCCTTTGTTTGGTCCTTGGCACAGACTCGAACTCCTTCTAGTTCTTCAACGGGTTCTTCGCCTTTGATCCTGGTCCGTGGGTCTAAGGGAATGAGTTCGGATTCCCATATGTTTGCCATATGTACTCCCGGGGAGTTGCGTTGATGGCTGGCACAGGTTTTCCATTGACATCTTTCAGCGAGCTCCCTGTTTCCTTTGATTTCTCCCACACCATGAGGTGTGGGGAACTTGATAGAAGAGTGATACAGGGAAACAGCTGCTCTCAGGCTGAAGAGTAGGGGCTGTCCCATCACAATGTCATAAGGGGAAGAGGTGTCGAGCACCATGAACTTGGTGTTCGTCTTCAACCGCCAAGGTACTAATCTAGACTCAACTTTGAGTTTGATTAATCTTTTAGCAGAAGTCAAGGCTCCGCTTAATCCTAGGACCATATTTGGGTATGGTCGAAGAAAGTTAGCAGGGATACCCATCCATTTAAGGGTGTGGCTAAATAGGATGTTCAGAGAACTTCCTGTATCCACAAGACTTTGGGGATGGTTACCCCGACCACAGGCAACGAGATTACCATAATTCCGTGGTAAAGATGTGGGTCCGCCTCCTTCTCGTCAAAGGATAATTGCTCATTTGTGGCTTTTTTAGATTCTTTTTCGTTATGCCGATCTCGGAGAGATCTGCAACGATTGGTCTCTTTGGTCTGGCTTCCTGGGCTTGTGTGTTCGTCCTACTCCTTAGCATGTTGATTTGTGGCCTTGGCAGATCGACGTTGCAGGCCCTTGCAGTGGCTTAATCCCCTTGGATAATTCCAGTCTCGTAAGGGGCGGAAAATTTCACGCAATAATGATAAATTGACGTGGTAGACTTTAGTTCGTGCAAAATGGGCCGTCCCAATATTGCATTGTAATTGGATGGTAAATCGACCATCACAAAATCCGCTAGGATTCTTCTTTGGCTAGGAGCTTCGCCCAGCTCCACAATAGGGACGATCTGACCTAGGGCTTCGATAGGATCCCTAGAAAATCCCTGTAGCTTCCTTGGATATGGTTGGAGGTAGCGGACTGATATTTCCAGCTGCCTCAAGGTTCGTGAGTACAATATGTTGGCCGAACTTCCATTGTCCACTAGAGTGCGGTGGACTTTTACTACGGCAACCATCATTGTGACCACCTGGGCGTCACTCTGGTCTTGAAGGATTCCTTTAGAATCTTCTTCCGTGAACCAGAACAATTCAGGGTCTATGCTGGTCTTAGGGTTTGATTCCAGTAGTTCGGCACGATTTTTGCACTTCGAGCTTGCCTTCGCCTGGCCCTTTTGGGTCCTTCAATATACTGATTTTCGCCCACCATCATTTTGATTTCGGCATGTGGGGGTGGGTTATGGTTAGGGATTGCTTGTTGGGCTCGTGTGGGAGCCCCCTGTAGCAGTGGCTGCTGCGTTGTAGGTCGATCTGCTTCTTTTGGCTTGGCAACAAACTCCTGTAACTGACCTCTTCGAATTAAGGATTCAACTTTTTCTTTTAAGTCCCGATAGTTATCAATGTCATGGCCCATCGTCCTGTGATATCGGCAGTATCCTCCATGGCGTTATCCGGCCTGTCCGTCCTTTAGGACTATAGGTTTGTGAAATGCGTCTTTCGTATTGGCTTGCGTGAATACCTCTTCCAAGGAGGATTTAAGTGGGTGGTATTCTAGGAACTTGTATGGTTGAGCCCTGGGACATTCTCTTTCTCTCCTGTCCTTCTTTCTTTTTGGTTGGGGAATGCGGCTTGGTTTTTTTTTCTTTTACCATATCACTGAGGTCAATTTCGAGTCTTGCTTCCTCTTGGTCAGAGATTGCTTCTTCAGCGCTTATGTCAGCTCGATTCAAGAACTCGTGATAAGTCCTTGGACCGTCCTCGTGTATTGACCACCAGAATCTCGTTTTGGGTCTTAGTCTTGCTAATACGGCCATGAGTACTGCACCGTCAGATATGTTTTCTACTTCCATGGATTGCTTGTTGAACCTACTCAGATAGCTTTTGAGGGATTCACTTTTTCCCTGCTTGATGCTCACTATACGTTCTTTGGGTGTAGTGCTAGCCTTGGAACCCATAAACTGGGCCAAGAGTGTTTTCTCTCTTGTGCCGGCAAGAATAATTAAAACCATATGGACCTCAAACCCTAACCATATATTTATATAAATCCAAACGGGCTCGACCCTGTCCGGTCCAATATTTAATTAATCCATTTAAGTAAACCCGGTCTGTAAATTAATTAATTCGGGAATATAAATAAAAAAATTCAATTAATTAATTTATTCAACGATTGTTAAATTAACCAATTGGCAATTTGCAATCTTCCAATTCTCTTTTATGTGCGACCTATTAGGTTTCTGATCACGATACCTAGCGACGTGAAAATATTATTTTGATCTAATCAAAATTGATAAATTAAAACACCCTTTTAATTTATCGTCAATTCACACTCGCCATTCCTGATTGACATCTAGCAATGTGTCAGGGCAATACATGTGACGAAAAATGTAATGTGGTGTGACAAAACCAAACTCGTTCGTTTTACCGTGAAACTATAATCCCTTCGTCAATATGATTCGATCAATTACGAGATATGAAAGTGTGTCAATCTCGATCATCGATCATATCTTTCACTCCACTATTAAGTCAATATAAGT